CAATAGTTGCTTCCATATTGTGAATTGTATTGCTTGTAATTTCAGTTTTTGAGATCTTAATCACAGGATTCTGGACCTCAAGCTATTTAGTCTCAGGCAAATAACGAGTTTCAGAAAAATATCTCCATTTGATTTAGTTAGGTTGAGAAATCCAATATTTCATTTTGAAAGCTAAATGCAAACTTACCGCTCCACCCTCGGCAGCCGTGCCTTCAGTCACTACGCCCCGAGGCTCAGAAACTCTCTTCCTTACTCCCTTCACCTCACCCCCTATCTTCCTATTTTCAGGTCTCCGCTGAAGACCTTTCTTTTCGACCGCGCCTTTGGTCACCTTCCTCCCTCTCCCCATGGCTAGGCCCCGGGATCCGTTACTGTGAAGGACTCTGAGACGCCGTCCGGCGTGGAGGGCGCTATATAAATCCAAGTTGTTGTTATTGTTGGTTAAGAAAGCTACATATTTATACTGTTTCTTATTGCTATTTCTAGTACATAACACCTTGTGGTCTTAGCCTTAGCCTGTTACAGTATAGAAGACCTTTTGATGCTGATACTGGCTCCTTCACTGGAACTAATTCACTCACCCCAATTCACAGCTCTATATGTCTATATGTTTTTAAATATTGATCAGTGCTCTTTTAAATGTTGTTGACTTAGCTTCAATAACATCTTGGAAAAAGTATTCCTTGTTTTGATGATCCTTAGCACAAAGTTGTTTTTTCTAACCTCCTCAATTCTTCCAGTAAAAATCCCAATCTTATACCCGTGTATTGCCAATGTGAATAATCTTCCACTATTTAGTCTCTCAAAATCCTTCCTAATTTTGAAGAGCTCTATTTTATTAGATCACTTCTTCTCTATTCCAGTAAAGACTGCCCCAATTCTTTGAGATTGCATCGTAGAATTCTTTGCCACAAATTGTTATTCAGGGAGAGTCCATAAATTTTAAAATAGAATTAGATAGGTGTTTGAAGAACATTTTTAATGGGTACAGAGAGCACTAAGAATATAGCTGAGAATATATGCCACAATTTTCTCGAGACAAACTTCACTATCTAAAAGGTATCATTCTGCAAATGTGAAAATGCATAATGTATGTATATAATGCATTAACTGAATTATAGGAGCATGACCCACATAGCATTGTATGCAAGATAGTGGGGAAAAAGGTTAAAAAAATAAATAACTTCTGACCAGGTCTAATGAAATACACTGAAACCCTGGCAACCCGACCAATGGGAGGGTGGGGGGAAGGGGGAAACTGGTCTTTCTGGCTAAGTGTAATTACAATGTCAGTGCTGGCATTTGCTGGCTTTTTTTAAACCCTCAAAAAACCCTTTCTTGACTCATCTCTGCTCTCCAACTATCACCCCATTTCAAACCTTTCTTTTCTATCAAAGGTCATGGAACGAGTCATCAATTCCCAGCTTCGCTCTTTCCTCTCCCAGCATTCCCTCCAGGAACACCTCCAATCTGGGTTTCGCTCTGCTCGCAGCACAGAGACAGCCCTGATCAACGTGACAAATGACATTCTGTCCACCTGCGACCAGGGCTCTCTCTGTCTCCTCGTCCTTCTTGATCACTTTTGATACTGTTGACCACTCTATTCTCAATGGTTCTGTTCTTGCCTGGTTCCAAACCTACCTTTCCCACCGTCAGCACTTCGTGGCCACCAACGGCTTCTCCTCTCGCCCCCACACTGTGGAGTGTGACATCCCTCAGGGCTCTGTCCTCAGTCCCCTCCTCTTCAATCTATGCATGCTCCCGCTCGGCGATGTCATCCGCATGTGTGCGTTCAATATCCACATGTATGTTGATGTCACCGAACTCTATCTCGCCGTCTCCACCCTCGACTCCAGGACCCTTGATGTCCTGGCTAATTGTGTCCGACATCAAGTCTTGGACGAGAGCCAACTTCCTACAGTTCAATGTTGGTAACAGAGAGGCCCTCCTGCTTGGCTCCTGGCAGCGCCTCCTCACCTCAGCTGCTGACACTATCACCATTCATGGCTGCTCTCTTCACCTCTCTGAGCCAATCCAATCGACCCTCAGTTATCCTTCAAACCCCACATTCGTACCGTGACCTATTCCGCCTTTCCACACCTCTGCAACATTGTCCACCTCCGCCACTGCCTCTCACCACATGCCAGCAAGATCCTGATCCACACTTTCATTAAGTCCTGGCTTGACTCCGCCCCCACACTCTGGAACTCTATCCCGCAATCCCTCCACCTCACCCCCTCTCTTGCCTCCTTCAAGTCCCGTCTGAAGACCTTCTTCGAACGTGCCTTTGGCCACCTTCCTACCCTACTGCCCTCCTGGCCTTCTGACCCCAACTCCCAGGTCAGATCCAAAACCTGATTGTGCAGCGCCTTTCCGACGAAGGGCGCTATACAAGTGTAATTTGTTTTAAGAACCAAAAAATGCAGGTACCGGCATTGTAATTGTTTGACTCCCATGTGCAGAAGAGAGCGAATAAGCCATCTTCTGCTTGCAGGATCTAAACTGAGTCAATTGGCAAGCACGGTGAGGTGTGTGCTAGGAGAGTGGGGCAACGTAAGTCTACATGCAAGTCCACAGAATAAGGTTTCGAGCCTGGTCTGGCTAGATACGATTTCTGGATATCCGGAGAGTAAGCCGGGCTTTACTGTCATTCAATTGAAATATTGTTGACGAAATAAAGCTTCCGCATGCATTAATAATGCAATCAGGCAAGTATCTTCCAGTGTCCTGGCCAACAATCCCACAGATAAAATTGATCATTCACTTTATGGGTTTACGGGACACTGCTGTATGCAAATTGGCTGCCATTAATCAAAAAAAACTGCAGTAAATCATGTGAGGTGCTTGGAGCATCTTCCTGACATGAAAGATACTGTATCAAATGCAAAATTATTATTAGCTGAGCAAAATAATGGCACACTATGATGTGTCACACTAACCTATCATGTGTTTCATGTTCAAATTCGCAGTTTATCAGCTGTGCAATATATTTGAATGATTCTAACTGTGGGGAAAGCTGTGATGCAATGAGCAGTGAAATACTTAAAAGCAATATTGTGCAACCTTTTTATTTTCAGTCTCGAGAGCATATATATATATATATATATATTACTAATGTACATTACAGGAACAAACTTAAATCAAGTAAGAATTAAAAGTAAAATTAAACTTAGAATGGGTCAAAACAAGATGGAATCTTGGTCTCAATGATGCGGGGTTCGTTGTAAGTAAAATAGATGCAAAAAGTGAGGGGAAGGCATGTGATTCCTAATACATTAAGTCTTTTTGGTGGGAAAGAGCCAAAAGAGGGACTAAGGGGGTATAAATTAGGTGGATAGGAAGGGATCAAGGTTGTTGATTCTTTTGGGGCCACTTCCATCTGCTGATGTGATCAATTTTGACTGGAAGTTACGCTTGATGACTTTTTAAAAAGAAATATTATTATTTGGGGAGTTTCTGCTTGCCTTGAGTGTAGTATTATATTAGTTATTAAGGTAGAAATTTTACTGTTGAATGTGGCGACAGTTTATTTATGTTTGTTTATGTTATTGCAATTGAGCAATAAGCCAGTGCAAGGGCATTTAATAAAAACTACTTCTTAACTTCTATAAAGTCTGCTCGAGTTGTAATAGTAAAAGGAGGGGAAACATTGTGACAGAGGCCACTTAATAATAAGTGACACAAATTGTTTAACAGGAGGGAGGACATCCCAGTGCCTTGGGACATACTCCCGACATGAAAGGCTCTATACAAATAGACCAGTGATGAGCAGTTCGACAACAACAAATTTACATTTACCTTGTACCTTTCACATCTAGAAGATATCCCAAGGCACTCACTGCTCTACGAACAGTGACTGGATCTTCAACATGATGGGGGGTGCGGGGGGTTTGATAAGAAGTTCGGGAGAAATGATCGTCTGGTCAGTGATTAGAGAGCATCAATTTAAGGTAATTACCAAAGAAGCAAAGGATGAATTCAGAAGAAGTTGTTTGGACATGAAATGATTATCCAGAAGCAGTGGTGGAGGCAAGATTCATATCAGCTTTCAAGAGTATAGGTAAAAGGGAAGTAAATGGATTGCTTTTTGAAAAAACTCACAGACATGATAGACCCAATGGCCTTCTATGTTATAACGTTTTATGGTTTCAGAGGCAACAACTACCTTCCCCAGTTAAGTATTAATTATGTAGGAGCCTGAACAGTTGGTAAACTGGTCAACACAGCTGAGCTCAATTCTACTTTCATTATAGTTCACATACATGCATTTCCAAGGTAACTGGAGAGTTACCAGATGCAGGAACCAAGCATGATTTCCCCCCTCAATCCAGGTGCTGAGATCAATTTCAGCACTGATCTGCTAACAGAACTGACTGCGCTTGGTATTTTTCTGTTCTTCATGCCTCATTTCCGACCCAACTGTCCAGCGCCTTGGGACGTCTTCCCCACGTGAAAGGCACTCTATAAATGAAATCTTGTTGTTGTTATCATTGGATAAGCTTGGTGGACTGTAAGGAACCCCAAGTGTTTGTTTTAAAACTTTCAAATGACCTTAGGTAATGGTTCTGGTTCCTTATTTGTACAAATTAGCAGATTACAGTTGTGTCAATTGTTGGGGATGCAATAATTGATCATCAATTATTGCATTGAAAATAGGACTGGGTTTAATGGAATACCATCCACGGTTGAGTACCTTGTCAATGCTCAGTTTTAAACTCACCCACAGGCGAACGGTAATTTGATCAAGGTACTAGAACCAGAGGTCTGCCAGCGTCCATGTGACCACACCTCAGTAAGAATCACCGAGCTCAGGAAACATTTTTTGTTACAAAAAATTTCAATGCAAGGTCATCACTTACATTTAAAAATGTTCCCATGAAAATTAATAACTCAGTTGTTACCTTGTTGCTTGTTAGATATTGGAGCTCCACTGCATATCTATATTCACCAAACACTTGCCTTTTCATTATAAAACTGCTAATAAATACTCTGAATATTGCTAACCCAAAACATTTAATTTGGAGATATTAAATAATTACAAATGTACAAATTAAAATACATAATGTAAATATAACTGATCTGTAGGAGATGACGCTTCATTATTCACTGTCATTTGACTGGACTCTGGTCTTCAATATTTACTTTGAGGATTGTGGTTACTGAGCAAACATCTTCTTGGTTACAGAAGGTAAGAGGACATGAGAGAACAGGGTAGAAATGAAAATATAGAAAGTACAATTGTTAACATTCAAACCTAAAAATGTTTCCAATGTACACAAACCAATTTAAAAAAAGATTCTTAATTAACAATTACATCTGCATGCCTTTCACACACCTTTGTCATTCGGGATTGAAGAACAGAGCAGTTATAATTCAAAGTGTGGCAAAGTGGAGTTTATGTTCTCTAAAATCTCCTTATATAACCAGCTTTGCCTGAAGTCTTGTGAATGTTCCATTGCTTGAAAAAGCTGTTTGTATACATCAGGGTACACATGACCTGTGAAAATGTTCTTTGGTATATCCAACTGCAATAGTAATTTCTCTCCACATCCAGGACTCCAAGAGCTTGGGATCAGTTGAAAGAGAGTGGGGAAAAAAATATTTTAGGTTGAGCGTCTCTTCAAATGGAATAAAAGATTAACTGACTGTTTCTGAATTTAGGAGAATTAGAAAAGGGAACCAGATCAGTACATCACTACTGACTGATTGTCAGTGCATTGCATTTTATTAAACTAACTGAGGTTAAATGAGGTCATAAGCAGAGGAGAGAAACTCAGTTCAGAATTTTTAATGTTGTTAATAAGGTCCTACATTATGTAATGGTTATTTGTCACTGTTTTACTTTAAATTCACATTTCTTGAAAGAATAACAATTTTTTAAAAATGTGATAATAGATCAAAGACAGCCTTTTTTTTAAAAAGCCTGACCAAATTATCAAACATTTGGCAATTCAGGATTTGATAAGCAGCGTTTAATCTCAATGCAAGGGGAGTGGCGAGTCAAATAGGATGGAAACAAAATTTAATTTTAAAGTGTCTTTTTTGTGGTATTGGTGGGGAAACAGGGACTTTGTGTAGTTTTTCTGCAGCTAAGAGCAGCATTTAGCAGGGGCTTAGGAGAAGGTCATACACCTTCCTGAATATTCATGGTAAAAGGCTCAGAAAACTGAGATGGAAAGTAGAACTAAATTTAGTCAATAAAGGTATCAACTATTTAAACATCAATTTTGGTAACATACTGGGACAAAGACCTATAGAACTGGAACTCTAACGTGAGACCAAAATATTTTATATATACATTATTATACACAAGGTATCTCAATAGCATTGATTCTGGAAAGGAAGGCTCTTAACAACTAGACAGTTTACATACGTTTTTCTGATTATTGGCAAAAGCCGTTGCCAACAGCTGAATATCCAATGTCCATCTTATCAGCTGAAGGAAATGCAAGGGGAAAGGAACACAAGACATTCTCTAGCTAAAAGGGTCAATAGGGAAACAATAGTGATGGCCCCAAATCCACAGTGCAGTGCACCATCACGGTTGGAAAGAGTTGGAGAGGAAAAGATAGAAAAGTGCAATGTTCAGGTTTTCACTTAGAATAATGAAGAAATTACTAAGAGGTTTACTGAAGTAGCTTTCAGACTAATAGTGTAGTTTAATGCTCACACTTTTAAGTATACATACTTTAGTTGGTCAATCAGTTTTGCTTTGCGTTTTGTAAGACATTGTTTCATCATCAAAACTAGTGTCGCAGAATTGGCAGTTGTCAAAGTCTCGTTAAATAAGTCCTTGCGTGGAGTCATTCGCACAAGACACAGATGATCATTTGTTAACGTCTAAGAGGAAATTATGAAGACAATAATGTTAATACAATTTTGTATTTAAAAAGCACATCTGAAAAAATATTTAAAACTGGCAATACTGTATATTTATGGTAAACGTTTAAAAGGAAATTTGTTCCAATAACTGTACATACAAGGATAATTTCATATAAATTAGTGTTTACCCTACAATACCTTTTAAAATAGTTAATGTTAATATGCAACTGGGTTTCACATTCAGGGAATTGAGAATGTTGTTGGCTCTGTGAATGCCTGAATGTGCGTGCCTTTCATGTCGGGTAACAACTCAATGCATTAGAGTGGAAACCCAAACATGATAAGGTAAGCGAGAGGTAAGGGAGTTGAAAGCAGAGAGGGAGGGTGCGAGACAGAGGAGTTTGTGGAGCAGAGGGAGCAGGTAGAAGAGGGACTGGAAGAAATTGCAGAGCTTGGATGGGGCAATGGCGTGGAGGCATTTGAAACACAGAATAAGAATCTTGAAGTCAAAATTGCTGCTCAGAGGAGGCTAATTGACCTATAGTATCTGTGCTGCTGGAATCTGTAATGCCCAAACAAACATGAACATAATTTAACTTCTCCTCAAAGGGACAGCATCTCCCTCAGTGTGGCATTGGAGTTTCAGCCTAAATTATAAGCTCAAGTCCTGGTGTGGTACTTGAACCTAGAACCTTCCGACAAAGAGGACAGTGCCATCAACTGGGCAGACTAAAGAATCAAGTTGGCAAACATTAAGTAAAAACATACCCCCTTTCTTGGTCCTCCAGAACCATTTTTTGAATTTGTAACAAAAGATGACCACGGTTCCTAAACAGAAACAATATCAAATTGCAGATCAACTGTGTAAGATGTCAGTTATAATTCTGATATACCATACACCGCAATTAATAATAATAATAATGCTTGCATTTGATATCGGGCCTTATCACATCTTCAAGACATCTCAAATCGCTTCGCAGAATATACTGTAAAGTGAATTGACTGAATATTTTGTGGGTGAAACAATTGGCTTAATAAACATTAACAGGGGGGAGGGGCATGAGAAGTTCAACTACTTAAGGAAACATTGTATCAGGCTAAGCATTTTCAAGTTGTAAAATATTAATTTTACAGTTGCTTAACATTAAAATATCCATATTACTTCTAGCAGTTTTCTTACCTGAATAAAATACAATTATTGACCAGCTCAGGAAAGTTAAAATACCTTTTACTATTTGAATCCAGACCAAATTAAGCCCAACAATGCGAGGATATTGAAGTGACATGAACAGATGAAAATTCTGATCATTGAATAAAAAGAAAAATCTTGTGATCCTAACACCCACACGAGACTCTAGGTGTTTGGCCACCAGAGAAATCACTGAGCGTAAACATCTACAAATAAATGCCCTGTCCATTATTCAAAAAAATATATGTAGTGAATGGTCTGGACAGTGAATTGATTTGTGTTTTCACTCAAAGTGATTTCTCTGGTGGCCAAAGACCTTGGATTTCTTGTGCTGTGTCAGGATCACAGGATATTTTCCTTTAATTGAAGGATCAGAATATTAAATAAAATACTTACCATGTGTAACAGCTGTATATCACAGGCCATCTGCCACAACGCACTCAGTGCCTGATAATGCCTCAGATTTCCAGGCTGTGCTATCAGTTTCTAGATATAAAAAAATCTTCATTTTAACAAACTAAAGTGAAATGTATACATACATGCATACACCAACATATTCAAAAAGGAAAAGTACCGTGTATTCTTTTTCACTAATGAACATGTCAAGTTCCACTCTTCCATACTGGAACAAAGAGATCCGCTCAAACAGAGAGTAAATGAGCTTCCAAAGCATGTTGCGCTCATTCTTTTGAGAGAAGATACCAACCACTTTTACTGGAATATCTGGAAATAAATAGAATTGAAAGATTTCAGAGAACATGTGCTTGGGTTTCTTTCATTTACAGCAGTGGTGGCCAACCTTTATGGTCGACCAACAAAATAAATTTTCTTGATCTGTGCCATAAATCAAGAAAAAAATTAAAACATACCATTGATCAAACAGACTTACCCAGACTCGTGCAAATGTTTGAGGGAGCACTTCTTGACAGCTCCACGGGCCTCTTCTGGCCCATAGGCCACAGGTTGCCCACACTGATTTACAGTAAGTTAATACGATCTGCTGACAGATTTATTTCTCTATTGCTTACAGCCCAATCATCCTCACTGAACATTTGATTTTCTTCCTCCTTCACAGACTTGTGTTAGCCATCAGATGATTAGAAAAGCACTTAAATAAATAAAGCAACCATCTTTCTTCTGACACAATAATGAAATCAATATGCTTTAAGAGTTTTATTAGATTTACAGTTTACCATAAATAGGTTAGTCAATAAACCATATAGGAAAGCCTCCAAATGTATTAAATTTTGTTGAATCATAATATGAATATTGTTTATCTTCGCTCTTTCCCTTTCTCCCAATTTAAAATTACAAGATTTTAAGATTGCCTGTTTGGTTTCTTTGTTTCTGTACAATCCTATAACTTCCTATTACAGTATCAAGTTGTTAACTAAACAGAATGCCACTCTTTCTGATAACTTATTCCAGCTACCAATTACTGTTTGTAAACAAAACACACTCCTTTGTATTAATCTGTAAACCTGCCGTTTACAATCCTGAACGTGTAGTGTGGTCACTTGTCTTGCTGTCTTCACACATCTCAAAATATTGTTCCAATGTTTACTTTCTTTATCATGTTGAGCCATTTTACATATCTTTACAGTAGCTTCAATATAAACAGATTTTACTTTTAAAACTAATCGTTTCCAAGTCCCAACGGGCAAGATGTTCTGCAGTGTGTTAATTTGACACTAAATTATGTTTAAATTGCTGCTGACATACACAAAGCACACTAAGGAGAGCTTGGACAATGCTGAAATGCAAGCTTTGGTAGGTAGTGTCAATATCAAATTAGGTGGAATTAAAAGGGAACAAGCAAACAGAATATGGATAGATTGACGACCTGAGCTGATATTTAGTGTTGTAAATACAAAGCAAGATGGATCCTAGAATCTTAGAAATTTACAACACAGAAAGCAGCCATTTGGCCTATCAAGTCTGCATCAGCTCTCAACTATTAATTTAATCCCACAATCCTGCCTTATTCCTATAGCCTTCCAAGCTTCAACCCTTCAAATATCTATCAACTTCCCTCTTGAAATCCACAATGGTCTCTGCCTCTACACCTAAAATTTGGCAGGGCATTCCACATGCCAACAATTCAGTAAAATAAATCATCCAAGCTTTCCTTTAGTTTTTCTTGTGACTCTCACAACTTTAGCCCCTAGTCACTGATATCCTTACAAGTGGAAATAGCTTCTCTCTATTAGCCCTGTTAATACCCCTCATACTTTTGTACATCTCCATCTGTTCCTCGCTCAACTTCCCTGCTCCAATGAAAATAAGACCCAACTTCTCAAATCTCTTCTTATAACTAAAACCCTGATATTATTCTTGTAAATCCCTATATCCCCTTGAAGGCTTGAACATCTGTCCTGAAATGAGGTGCCCAAAACTGAACATAGTACTCCAGCTGTGACCTAACTAATAATTTATATAAAGTTAGCATTATCGCTTTACTTTTGGGTTCTATTCCCCCAAAATCGCTCTGGGACGCTACTCTGCATGAGGGGCGCTACATAAATGCAAGTTGTTGTTGTATAAAACTCAGAATACTATTAGCTTTTTCCATAAACCTTTCCACTTGCATTGCCATTCTTAAGAACTTTTGTACCGACACTCCCAAGGTTATTTGCTCCACTGCTCCTTGCAAGATACTGCCATTCACTATATACTCCCTACCCCTGTTTTTACTACCATGGCAAATCATTTCACATTTTACTTAATTAAACTTCACCTACCACTGATCTGCTCATTGCACTAATCTAAGTCTTTCCCCATTCTCTTGCCATCCATCTCACTGTTCGCTATGCCTACTAGCTTGGAATGATTACCCACAGATTATAACTCACTTCAAAAACTTAACCATCTGAAATGTAAAGGAATCTAATGATTACATTAATATTGTACATTCAACCAATCACATCTGTATAAAAGAGCAATTTAATTGGGGGCTTTGGTTCATTTCAGTACTGAGATTAAGCTAATACACAGTGTGCATCAACATTCTTTGAAAAATCGAGCATAATGTTATCTTTTGTGAAGAGTTCACGGGTACCCACAGAATGTTACTCAAGCACCATCTACTGGATTTTCAACCACATTACTGCTCAATTAGTTTCTATACAAAAACTCGCAGAATCTGGAAAAATAGTTACCTGCAGTCCAAGGTACCTCTGATATCCCCAGGTCACTGAAAAGCTTCTCAGAAAACATAGCTGGAGGTGTCATTGAGCCATGGCCAATTGGATCCAGTTTGAAGAAATCGCAATGAACCACCTTTAACTGCCCATCGAGCTGGTTTTCTAGAGACTGAACATGTATTTCAATTAGAAAATGTTTTCCAACTCATTTTATAAGCCCCATCTCTAATCCTCTTTTCCTTTCCAAGGTCTTTGAAATAGTTGTTGCTTCCCAGCTTCACTCCTTGCTCTCCTGCCACTCCTTTTACACCCAATTCTATCTCTCTGCCTCCACCCTCGACGCCTGGACCACTGCTGTCCTGAGAAAATGTCTGTCGGACATCAAGTCCTGGATGAGAGCCAACTTTCTACAGTTGAACATCAGCCAGACCGAGGCTCTCCTGATTGCCTCCCGTCAGCGCCTCCTCACCTCAGCCACTGGCAGCATTAGTATCTACGGATGCACACTCCACCTCACCGAGCCAGTCAGGAACCTGGGCATCTTGTTCGACCCTCAACTGTCCTTTCTCTCCCACCTCCGCAACATTGCCCGACTCTGCCACTGCCTCACCTCCCAGGCCGTTGAAACTGTCATAAATGCCTTCGTTACAACCAGGCTCGACTAAACCAATGCTCTGCTCGTCGGCCTCCCCAACTCTTCCCTCTGCAAGCTGAAGATCATTCAGAAGTCTTCAGCTCTTGTCCTCTCCTGCACCAGGCTCTGTGACCCCATCGCACCCACCCTCGCCCGGCTCCATTGGCTCCCCATCCCTCAGAGGATTGAGTTCAAAATTGTCACCCTCACCTTCAAGGCCCTCCATGGCCTTGCCCGCTCCTACCTGCTAACCCCTTATCAACCTGTCTGCTCTCTCCGCTCAGCAGGCTCCGGCCTGCTCCACATTTCCTATCCGGCCTGCCCCACCAATGGCGGTCGTGCCCCCATCCTCGGAACTCCATCCCACATTCCCTTCGCATTGCTCCCTTCCTTGCCTCCTTCAAGGCACGCCTCAAGACCCTCCTCTTCGACCCTGTCTTTGGCCACCCTCCCTGATCCCAACTCCGCCCTCCCCCAACCCCAGGTCCTAATCCCTCAGTCCCGACGTGAAAGGCACTTTACAAATATAATTTTGTATTGTACTGTCGAATACTTATGTTTCCTATATTTATGGTGTGTGGCAGTTAATGTAAATATATTAAACATAGCCAGAAAGATAGGTCAGCTCCCCTCACCAGTGTATGTTGATACAGTATCGGGGCCTGAGAGTAGCTTTGATTAGGGAATTGTATTTGGGGATCCAACAAAGGGTTAAAAAGACAATACCCATTCAGGCACAACTCCAATTCAAATCCTTATATCACATCTGGCCCCTCACTTCAACATGATAAGGCGCTATATGAAATGCCAGAATTATTATTATTACACTGAATCTCTTGCAAAAACACCTGCAGGAGTGCCCTCCCCCAAATGGAAGCAAAGGGGAGACCTGTGGGACATTCCAGAGGGGGTACAATAGGCTTGTGGGAAACATGCATCAGTAAGGAGCAGCTTGAGTGAATGCCCAAGTCTCTTTCCTTCCCCCAATTGTGTGTATTAAGGAGGTGATTTTTATTTGTTGTCATTTTCTTTGCATAACATCTTGCAAGCATCCTTTATTTCCTCTAATCTCCAAACCTATACCTTCGGTGTGAAAGGATAAGAGTCAGGCCTGAAGATGGGCAGTATACCTATCGAGGAGACAATATGGGTTAAAAAACATAATAGCCTTGATCACACCGCAACCCTAAAACTGACTGCTGCTGTCGTACACACTTAGGGAAAAGCAAGCGGCAACAGCAACATCAAGGAGCTAAGAAGTGGTGGAGCAGAAAGGCTTCCATTTAACTCAGTGACGTGAATCATGGAAACAATTGACGAGGAGACCCACTAGTCTGCCCCAAATCCAAATCCCCCAATTAAAACCTCATCATTAAGACAATGCATTTAATCAGAACTAAACAATTCATTAGCCATTTAGTTGGGTTAACTGACAAAGAAAAAATTAAGCCGTACCTGTAAATGAGGCAAAAAATGCTTCTCACTCTCCAGAGCTATCACTCTACGTGCTCCAGCATTCAGCAATGAACGAGTGAGAACACCAGGGCCTAAAAACAACAACAACTTGCATTTATTTATATAGCACCCTTCATGTGGAGTAGTCAGAGCACTTAACAATGGTGGAGCTTGACGCTGTGATGGGGAGAGGGGTTTGATGACCATAGGCATGGTCGAAGAGGGAGGTCTTCAGGTGTGATCTGAAGACGGACAAGGAGGAGGAAAGGTATGGTCCCACTAAGGTGGATAAATGCATGGAAAAGGGTTTCGGCTGCGTTGGGTGGTACAGATCAGTCATGATCTAATAGAATGGTGAATAGGCTTGAATGGCCTAGTCCTGCGCATACATTGAGCATATAGTGTCAGAACAAGGTTCTAACATAGTTTGAGCATGCACGAGTATGACCTCTCCTCCACCCCCCCCAAAAAACATGCTACATTTGGGAAAAAGTGTAATGTGAGCAATATTGCCCAAATTCTATCTTATGGTTAGGGCAGTTTAAATTACAGAAGATTGGATAGCACAACAAGATAGTAGTTCAGACCTTTCTCTTTGAACATCTCGTTTTAAATCCAGGCCCAACTCAACATAGCTCAGTTAGCAGCACCTCCCCTTTCAAGTCAGAAGATTGTAGGTTCAAGTCCCATGTCGGGACTTGGAGCTCATCATCTTGGAACAACATCTTAGCTGATGCTCCAAAGCAGTGCTGGAGATGTGCTGCATTGTTGAAGGTGCCATCTTTTGGATGAGAATTTAAACTGAGGACCCTTCTCCTTGTTCAGGTGAACTTTAAAAGTCCCATGGCACAATTTGAAAAGTGAAGGGAGTTTCTCACAGTGTCCTGGCCAACAACCCCCCCCCCCCACAATAAAATTGATCATTCACTTTTTGGCTGTCTGCAGAACACTGCTGTGTTCAAATTGGCTGCCATGTTGGTCCATAAAACACACAGCAACTCCACTTTACGGTATAACCTGGGAGGCATTTTGGGACTTCCTCACTATATGAAAAGGCGCTATACCATATGTAGGGATTATTATTAATAATTTTGTTTTTCCTTTGACAGTTGAAGTACCACATGAAATATGTTTTGACTATGTCAACTGAGTTCCTAGTGATGCATGTTCACACAAAACTGATCATGGTTCAACATTGAACCAAAAGGCTGTGAACTTTTCTATCTGCTGCCGGTGGTCATCCCAGTCTGGGTTAAAGCACAAAATCAAAGAACCCTGGGGGACCTCACTGTACAACACTGCTGTACTACACTTAACCTGATATAGCTTGCTGCTGAGTGAAAAGTGTAGTCCCCCAATATCAAACCTTCCTAATATTCTCTCCTTGCAGGAAACACTCAACCCCCATTCAATACACTAATCCTCAACAAGATTAACCAAATAATCTGTGGAAATTGGATAAATAGATACAAACATCTGAATTTAGAAGAATTCATGAACAATGCATATAAGAGTACACTTACCTGGATTACACTCAAACAAGATGGCTCTATCTTCAGAAAGATCATCATCAAGACATTCTGTAACTACATTTGCCAGATCGGGATTGATAATAAACTTTCTTTTCTGCTTTCCCTTTTTAGTGAGTTCTTCAATGTCCCCTAAATCCAGAAAATCAAACCTGGATAATGGTCTCTGTTGTTTTGAGGCAAAATGTGAACTTGCCACTGCTGACAAGTTTCTCTGGGTTTTTCCACAGTAGGTTGAATATTTGTTATACTTTTTTGGTGATTGAGAGAATGGTGCTCCATTTATTGCAGAACTAGGCACAAGTGAATGAGATCTTACTGAATGCTGGAGTAGTGACAGCGGGCAGTCACATGCTCTGCAGGAAACTGTTCGTAGTGTGAAAAATAAAGACTTGTAACCCAACATTGACATTTTAGTTGTGATCTGAAAGAAGAAATATTTTATCATTGAGAACAGATTGTATTAGAAATCATATCTGCTGTATCTGGCACACTGGTGAGTTGTTGTCGCCACTGTAAAGTCAGAATTCCCAGTCACGTTTAGTTTTAAACTGTACGAGAACAACAATGTCAGGACAAATACAGTTGTCAGATCAGTTATCAATTCAATAATATATTCCAAATAATAATTTCAGAAATGCATTGCTTATGTTCGTTATTGATTTCTAATTAAGATGACTTCTGAAGGTATTTTGAAAACACTAAACAATATTTAACAACAAATCCAAAATTGCTTTTTGAAATTGCTTATTTAATATACCACTGTTTACAAATGAGTATGAAATCTTCACTAGTGAAGGTTACTCACTTGTAACATCCACTCGTTGTGCATTGGAAGACTTTTTGGTGAATGTATGTAGAATTTAAATTAAAAAAAAATATTTCCGATTGCCTCGAACTGGGCCCAACTAATGTGACTAATACATGGGCGGCCTTTCCAGTGGTTTGGACACCATCACTATAACTGAAAAACGACACAAGAAGCTACTGAGATATTTTATTAAATGTTGGAAATGGAGATTCCCCAAATCCATTATTAACTCACAAGAAGTCGCAGCTCTGATGGCAGTTCACGCCTCGCACAGTGGGTCATCAGGTTAAATAACCACATGTTATACAATGCAAAGCCCTATATTATTGTTTTCAACAGAACAATCGACAGTTGATTGAATCTAAAATTACAACAGTAAAATGCTGACAATTCAAAGCAAGTCCCAGTCATGTCTGAAGCAGCAACGTGAACCTTAGTCCGACCAAAACCGGCGACTGCAAATCTACCGATTTATTTCCAGATTACAGATAACAGGAGGAGGAAAGCGATTAAAAGCGAAATAAATGCAGTGTTTACGCTTTTAACTGCAGAGCACTCTGGTGACAAATAAGCACAGATGGGGGGTTGATGACCTCCCTCCCTCCTGAAAGCTGCTAATAGATGTTGCCCACTCTGCTTTCTGTTTACTTGGCATCAGCCTGGCAGGTGCTCACTGCCACCTCCCCTCCCCTGCCCTCCCTGCCTGCCCTGCCCTGCCCTCCCTGCCCTGTACACAGTGCTCACCTGGGCAGCACGAGGCGCTCAGCCTCCGGCTCGCGGGTCTCAGCTCGCGCACTCGCCGCGCTCCGCTCACTGCGCAGCCGCACTGGTCGCCATTGTGACATTGACCGGACGGGCGCGCGCGCGCGGCAACACCGACGTCAGAGCGGCCGCCGAGCACGAGGTTTCGTCCCGCAGTGAGTCAGTTAGTGAAAGCGCCGCCGGTACCGGCCGCTCGGCCCCGCCAGCCCGGCCCCGACACCCGCTTGATCACCCTCTCGGTGTGTCGATCGACCGTCGGGATTTCCCCCCCCCTCCCCCGAGGAAATTGTTTGGAGAGTTTACGCTTCTCCCCCGCCCCTCCCCCAGCGCAGCTTCCGGAACGTTCAATAACACGCGGGGAGCATGCGCGGGGAGCAGGGGGAGGGGGGGCGGGCGGGTGGTGCACCAGTGTAAGAGCTCCCCCCTTCCCCTCGCCCCGGGTGAGCGCGGCTGAAGCTCAGCACAAACGTTCCGCGGCGCGGACCTGCTTTGTCCACCGCCCTCAATGCTCCCGGAGTGAAGCTAAATAATAATGATATTGACACGATTTCCCTTCCAACCCCGCTTTTGAAGTTTAAAGCTTCTTGTTTACACCTTTTATTGCCCTTAACAATACTGCCGTGCCCTTTGTTATTGTTTGAGCTTTGTTTTAGATATATATATCTAATCAGACATGATTTGCACTGAGATTTTTATGTCTTAACATGTTAACAATATTGCAGTTATCACAATAAATAGTAATTTAATTCCTGAAGATGGATTATTATTCTGTACGCCTTTGCTTTCACAGTTCAGCTTTCGATTGGCCTTCCAAAAGTTTCTCAAATCATAAAGTCTTCTTTTTGAAAGGTATGGACTGTAAGGCCAATTACACCCGTGTCTTGAAATGTGGAGGCATTTGTTATTTCTCAGCATATTTTCATCAGCAGGAAACAGCATAAATCAAGACTGATCTACCCCCAGGTGCACTCAAACTTTTCAAATGATTTCAAATTTGGCAAAGTTGTTCTTGTTACTGCCCCAGTAAAACACTCCCTGCAAACGTACATCCAATTAAGTACATTGGTTAAGGATATTCTGAGTGTATTTGGTAATGCGTAACGCTGGGTGAATTTGAATGTGTGGGTTGTGATAGTTTTTGTCCTACAAATTAAAAGTGGCATTGTTGTCCTGCAAAGGATCTTGACTTTGTACAAGCCCTTGCTTTCAGAACCGGTAGAACTGTACATGGTAGTTACTACAGTGACATAACTTGTTAGTAATCAATAGGTGAAATTTGTGAACAATTAGAAGGGACCATTATTTTATGGTATCCACAAATTGCAACAAAGAAGCAAAGAAAGTTGGATCTGAGAGACGTTTTAAAGACATGATAAGGCACTATATCAAATGCAAGGATTATTATTATCTGGCCAGTCAACAAATTGCCATTTTGTAGTGCAGCCAGAATAAAAGATGAACATTAAAGCGAAAAAATGAATAGCACAATGCAATTTACTTTTATATTGCAATTTTGACATTGGAAGAGTGTCTCAAATCTCTTCCATCTGAACTGGGGGTGGAAATAACCAAAAGCACAGTCAAAGAGAAGTTTTGAGATGTGCCTTGAAAGAGCGAATTGAGGCGCAAGTCGGAGGGACTTCGGGATGGAATTCCAGGGATTGGAGTTAGGATGGCTGAAAGGCTGCCTGCTGATGAACAAGGTAGGGAACAATAAAATGTTGTGCTGAGTTTGTGCTGAGCTTTGCTCAGCGAGCAAACCAAGTGGCCGGGTCCGTAGGGTTGAAGGAGGTCAAAGAGGTAGAGTGGAGCGAGACCATGGAAGGATTTAAAGGTGAAAACGAGGATCTTGAACTCAAACCACTGGGGAATGGAAAGCCAATGGATCTGAAATTGCAGTTAAATCACCATCATTAAACTTTCAATGTGTACATTTGATCATGAATCAGCTTACATGTAATTTCCTGTTGGAGTCTGTCATGACAATAGCTTGCCTAACAAAAACAGGCCCATTGTAGTTTAAGTACTTGTGAAAATTATCTCTTCTTCTTCTCCCTTTTTGCTAGTTGATTTTATTTTGATCAATCAAGTAACCATGCCGAAGAACAAGGCTACCGGACCTGTAGCAGAAGAAAAATTGGTAAAAAGGAGGTCACTTAGGTTGAGAGCGAAACCTGCTCCACCAAAACCAGCACCAAAACCAAAGAAGACAGTGGCTAAAAAAGAGAAGGCTGCCAATGATAAGAAGCAGGTTAATAAAGCACCAGCAAGAGGAAGAAAGGGAGCTAAGGGCAAAGAAGAGAGCAACCAGGAGGATGCAAAGGAAGAAACTCTCTCTGAGAATGGAAAGGCCAAAAACAGCGAGGCACAATCTGCTGAAAGCAGTGAAGAGAAAGATGCCAAGAATAGTAACTGAATCCGCCCATCATCTACATCAATAGCATCCATGCCTCCATACTGTATTGTTAACAGAGAGGAATATTTTTTATCAACTATTTTATAAAAACAAGTTTTTTTTTAGCATGAATTTAATAATGGAAACTCTCAAAACTCCATAATGTGGGGAGAATGAAAACCCCAAATAATCATTGTTTAAAATGTGATTGTCATAGTTATTCTGGTACATGGAACAAGTATAGCTGGTCGTCATTGACTTCTGTCAGAATGTCTGCATTTTAGCATCTGCATTGTACTTAAAGGTCTGAAACTAAAATTTCCAGCTAGTCTCAGTTTGTAAGACCATTTTGTCTTAAAATTTAAGATAATAATAATCCTTGCATTTGATATAGCGCCTTATCACGTCTTCGAGACGTCTCAAAGCGCTTCACAGGATAAAGATCACAAAGAATTGCTTAAAAGATTTTACACTTAATTTGGAATATGGTCCTCATTGACTGCAGTAAACTGATTTCCAAATTAAGACTGAAATGAACAATTTTCTCCAACACTGCGCAAGTTTAATTTTTAAGACAAAATTGACTTAAAGGCTACGATAAGATAGAATTTTTGGCCTCTGATCTTAAAATGTCACCAGGTATTTTTGGTGTTCAGTTACTACAAATGGGAATATTAAGCAGAAAGCTGTTTTCTGTGTCAAAACATTGCAGTTTTTGTGGATTAATTTTGTAACCAGGCAAATATTTTGGTGAAAAAACATACTGGCCTGGGAGTCTATTGATAAAAAATTTAATTTTGATTTGTCATTGTATAAAAAAATTTGTAATCATGTAAAACTAGTTTCTAATGAAAATTAATAAGTATTCTAAAAGGCAAATTGCTCCATGGACCCACTTTCTGTCGGATTTTGCGCTGGATGATTTACATTAATAAAAAAAACTCCCTCAAAATATGTTTATTTATATTATTCATCAACATTTCTCCTTGATGCTTTCTGTTCCTCTGCTACTCCAACTACTAGCTCATTTCCAACTCACCTTCCTATCTAAAGTCCTGGAACGCATTGTTAGCACTCAACTCTGCTCCCACCTTTGCCTCCTCTTCCTGCTCAAGTCCCTCCTGTCTGGCGATCCCAGTTGCAATCCCTGAGCCAATATGACCTTAGCTTCACAAATAATAAATCATTCCATTTGATGTGCAGTAAATCCCTAGCTTACCAGAAGCAAAAAACAATTCTATGAGCCCACGTGCATGTAGACTTCAGCCAGCCCAATTTTGAGCACTCTCCATCCTTTTTTGGCATTCACAGTGGTCAGGGATATCGACTTTGACAGATTGTCAGAATCCCATGAGCAGAAGATAGCTTATTCGCTATATAAAACAACAAGTTATATTTGTGCCCTTCACACAAGGTAGTGTCTCCCGAGTGCTTGACTGGCAATGTCTGACTCCGAGCCAGGGGGAGAGGGAGGCAGGAGGTGACCGTAAATACGATCAAAAATGAAGGTCTTTAGGCATGATTTGAAAGTGGGGAGGGAGGGGGCAAGGTGGAGGGATTGAGGAAGAGAGTTCCAGAGTTTCTGGGCGTAGTGACTAAAGGCACGGCCACTAATGGTGAGCGGAGGGCATGAAGGACAAACGAGATGGGGTGGAGTGGGGGTTAAGCAGATCGGATAGGTAGGGAGATGCAAGGGCATAAAGGGATTTGAAAATGAGAGGATCTTGAAATCAATTCATCTGGTAATTGGGAGCTAGTGGAGCCTGGAAAGGACTGGCGCTATCTTCAACTGCGAGATTCAAATAATTACAATGCCAGTACCAGTATCACAGTTGCACTTAGCTGGAAATTCCAGCTCGCCAGACCAGATCTCCCCCCACCCCCCACCCATAGTATGATTGTATGGGTAGTCAGTGTTTAAGTGCAGCAACTTAACACATAGTCGACCCACAACTGTCCTTTCTCCCCCACATCCGTGCCATGACTCAATCTCCACAAAATTGTCCGACTCCGCCACTGCCTCACCCCTCAGGCCACCGAAACCCTCATACATGCCTTCATCACCTCAAGACTCGACTGCGGAAATTTCCTCCTTGTTGACCTCCCCAACTCTTCCTTCCACAAGCTGCAGATCATCTAGGACTCTGCAGCTCATGTCCTCTCCCGCACCAGGCTCCGTGACCCCATCACCCTCACCCTCGCCCGACTCCACTGACTCCCCATCCCTCAGAGGATAGAATCCAAAATCCTCTTCTGCATTTTCAAGGCCCCTCCATGGCCTTCCCATCCTATATCTCTGACCTGCTGACTCCCTACCAATCTGCCCGCTCCCTCCGTTCAGTGGGCTCCGCCTGCTCCATGTCTCCCGCCCGACCCGCCCTACCATCGGTGGTCGGGCTTTCAGCCTCTCCGCCCCCACTCTCTGGAACTCCATCCCACAGTCCCTTCCCCTTGCTTCCTCCCTTGTCTCCTTCAAGGCCGGTCTCAAGACCCTCCTTTTCGACCGTGTCTTCGGCCGCCCTCCCACCTCTTTATCCTCCCTCATCCCAGCCCTGCCCCCACCACGCTCGGGTCCTGATCCCTGACGTCCAGCGCCTTAGGACGTCCTCCCGGTGAGAAAGGTGATTCACAAATCGTCATCTTGTTATTGTGTATCTGGTGGGCGAATCTCGACAGCCAATTGCGCACAGCAATGTCCGCAAACAGTCGCGGATCGAGTGACCAAGTTATTATTGTTTTCTTGAGGGATCCCCGAGCATGGCGCCCGCCCACCCCCCCCAGCCTCGCCCCAATAGCGAGGTAGGAAAGCAGCAAGAAATTAATACGCGTTTGTAGCCCAAGGTCCACCAAATAGTAGCCCAATATTGTGTGTTCCCTCCTGGGGGGGTAGCGGGCTCGAGTGGCTAATTTCGGTTAGTGCTTTCGAAACTGTGCAGGAAAAGGTCCGCAAACCGGGGGAGGGGGGGAACCCTCAGCAGGTCTCCAATTGAAATGTTTTAAAAATTGGACAACCGGTCGCCCCCAAACCCAAATCTTCTTTCAGGCACATTAACCCGCCCAGTGGGCGGGGGGGGGGGGGGGGGGGGGGGGCACGTGGCCGCGGAGCAGCACTCCCCACGTGCGTCACTCGCAGCCACGGCCACGCGGCCCCCGTCACGTGCCGGTGGCGGCGGCGGCGGCCAGTGGGGGCCTGAGGCCGGGCAGTGGGCGTGGCCAGGGAGCAGCTCATATGGCGCACCGCGTGCACAGGAGCGGCTGCGGGAGCCGCGGTCACGGGCTGAGGGCGAGCAGCGCTGCAGCCCCGGGGCACCGCCTCTACTCCGCCCCGCCCTACGCTTACATCCCCTGCAAGAAAGCCGGCGGCTCCGTCTGTGACTACTGCCTCTCCAGGTACTGAGCTCCGCGGCACTTGGCTGCCAGGGGGCGGGATGCGTGTGTGTGGACTGGCAATTGCTGCGATAGGGTCAGGGAGGCTGTGTACTCTGCACTGTGTCCTCTCCCCCCCCCCCCCCCCACCCCCCACTCACACACTATAAATAATAATGATAATAATAATAATCCTTGCATTTGATATAGCGCTTTTCACGTCGGGAGGACATCCCAAAGCGCTTCACAGAACACACTGGAAAGTGAATGGACTGTATATTTGTGGGCGAACACGGCAGCCAATTGCGCACAGCAATGTCCCACAAACAGTCGTAGATTGAAAAATGACCAATTTATTATTGTTTTGGGTTTTGGAGGGATTATTATTAGGCTCTGTGTGGAGTAAGGAAACTTGCCCAAGGTTTCGCCCTCTGCCTGGAATTGAACTCAGGTCTCTCGCTTGCAAAGCGAGTGCTCTAACCACTGAGCTACAAGACTCCACTAAAGGGGGGTTAGGGCATTTATGCAAATGCAGTGCAATATAAAGCTCTTATTGTTTTGTTGCAATGTGTATTTACAGCTGAGAGCTCAGATGCCCACTTCAGGGAAATGTCATCAGTGACACTTCTCGAAAGACGCTGCACGATGTTGCAAACTTGCATGGGCGCCCTCTGGGCTGCATTTAGTTTCAGAGCCGTGTGTTGGTTAAAATCGGGTCGTGATCGAAAGCACAATGAATGAGTCTCAATGGTGCTGTTAACTGAGCCACAGGCAGGGTGTGACCTCCGCTGTGACCTGGATAACTTGGCTGTTGGAGGCCCTGCCACTTCTTTTAAAAGTTAAAATCATCCATATCATGCATAAGTAACATATGGGGCGGCTTAGTGTATGATACACTTCATACTAGTTCACTGTCGACGTAGACGACAGAGTATTCAGTACAGCGAGAGGAACATCACCAAAGTGATCCTCACTCCTGTACCTGGATTACGTACCCAGGGTTTGGGGATGCAAGACAATGTTTTATACGTAGCATTGTGCCATTTAAAAGTGTGCAGTTTAAAAGAAAATCAATGCGCTCAAAAATAAAGATGTAAAAGAATATTTAGGAAAGCCATACTCCTTGGCTCCCATAAGTATCTTCTTTCCTGCAGGTCCTAACTCCTCAACCTCCCTGGGCTCTCCCTCAGACTCACCGAACCTGTGCATAATTTAGGTGTCAAGTTCAATCCACATGGCTTTCATTTCTCCCCCACATCTGTTCCCTGACCAGAACTGCTTTTTTCCACCTCCGCCGCATTGCTCGCCTCCGTTCGTACCTCACAGACACAGCAGCCGAAACCCTCGTCCAAGCCTTTGTCACTTCCCGGCTGGACTTTTCAAATGCCCTCCTCGCTGGTCTCCCCAGTTCCACCATACACAAAATTCAATTAATTTAGAATCCGCTGCCCGCACAAAACTCCGGACCCCCATCACACCAGTCCTTGCCAGGCTCCACTGGCTTCTAATTATCAAAAGGATCGACTTCAAGATCCCCTCGCTCGTTTTCAAATCCCTTCTTGCCCTCACACCTATCTGATTTGCTTACTCATTACTCACTATTTCCACTCGGCCGGCTCCGGCTTCCTGTTCATCTCTCACCCCTCTGCTCCACCATCGGCAGCTGTGCTTTCAGCTGCTGTACCCCAAAGCTGTGAAACTCTCTCTCAATCACTCCGCCTTGCTCCCTCCCTCCCTCCCACTTTGAAATCCCGCCTAAAGACCTTCCTTTTCATCCACAAAATTTTATTTATAAATATATTTGATACAACTGAAATCCAAAACAAACACAACATCTTCTGTTACAATTGCTTGGCTACCATTGTCCTTGAGAGCATAAATAATGGTCTTAGAAAAGGATATTTGGCTGATTAAACCCAATTCTTTCACAGGCCATACCCCAATACCCTATTCATCCACTGTATCTCCTGGGAAGAAGTTCTGTATAGATATCCCCCAATAGAAATATACATTTTCAGTAAGGAGGAGGCCACCTAGCTTATCAATGCTCCTGGGCTAGTTCATATAGAGGTGTGCTCTCCCCTCTCTACCCACAATTACAGCATATTATCCTTGCATTTGATATAGCACTTTATTGTGCTGTTGAGACATCTCAAAAAGCTTCACAGGAATTTTGTCAATTTTATTACATGGATCATGAAAATTAATTTTTGCGGTAAATAAATATCCATTACAGTGTTTCCACATAAAATGGATATGGACTCTGCCATTCTTCAAGATTATGTCATGATGGATAGAATCATCATAAATCATAGAAATTGATGTTAATATTCCAATTTTAAGAGAGCATATGTATGGAGGCATTTCATATAATATTGAAAAATTATAATATAGATTCTGGATAATTTTATTTTAAACCTGAAAGTGGGGAAACTATTGTTTTTAATGTTTAAAGCATTAATCACTGCTTGTTGCCAAATTAAGTTCTCAACAGGTATAATGAGGATTTAATCATCACTCCATACGCCTAATAATAATCCCTCCAAAACCCAAAACAATAATAAATTGGTCATTTTCAATCTACGACTGTTTGTGGGACATTGCTGTGCGCAATCGGCTGCTGCGTTCGCCCACAAATATACAGTCAATTCACTTTACAGTGTGTTCTGTGAAGCGCTTTGGGACGTCCTCCCGACGTGAAAAGCGCTATATCAAATGCAAGGATTATTATTATTATTATTATTATCACATTGCCAGAAAGAGAGGTACTGGGCAGGTACTACTGGAGAAGGAACAAAGAATTGTCATCAGTGATTAGCAGTCAATTTGGACCTGATTATTTGTGGCCCAGAGAGAGATGTATGAAACAGCAGAAGACTATTTCGAGCCCTGATGAGAACTGCAACATACATAATTTATTTAACATTGGTGAATTGTTGTGCTCCCAAATCCACTGGTCTATCTCAATCAGGAAGATCAATTTTGTCAACTTCTCCATACCACCCATGAAACTGCTGTGCGCAATTAGCTGGCGAGTTTCACCCATAAAATACATTCAGTTCACTTTACAGTATATTATGTGAAGTGCCTTAATAACGTGATAAGGCGCTGTATCAAATGCAAGGATTATTATTATTATACTTGTGCAGGGTAGATTTCCCTGGTAGGTTTTGCTTTTCTTTTGTTTTTTTTTAATTCACATATCTTCTGTGAAGAACAATCAGCATCTTCAGTTTTAATTTCATTTGTTGATAGACCAGGAGCAGTGCAGTTGAAACAAATGGTCTTAATATTTTAACTCCACAAATAAGAATCAGATGACTTTTAATTTTTTTTTACAGCAGACTAACTTGGCAACGAGAGCTAGATTGATTGATGAAGGTGTGAATCAAGCTCTGTGAGGTGGAGTGAAAATCCGTGCAAGCCATTGCGATCAGCGCTTACGATAAGATGCTTATGGGAGTTAAGCAAGAGAGTCTCATCGACATTGAGCTGTAGAAAAATGGAACTCATCTTGGCCTCTAGTGTTAAAGGAATGAGCTATGTACATAGTTTCGAAAAGATTGGACTCGTAACAGAACAATACTTTTGGTTGCACCAACACAGCAGAACGAGAGGACACAGATTTAGAGTTGCAAAGAGCAATTTCATGACAGATACCAGGAAGTAGTTATTTGTTCTGAGTGAAATTAACTGCTGAAACAAGTTACCAGGAAGTGTGATTGAGGCCAGGACACTCATATCATTTGAAAACAAAATCAGGTCCTGTGATAGGAGGATGGTAGGGTGGGTATTCTGGACAGATGAGATCAAACGTTGAATACAGTTCTCGTCACTGTGACATAAGGGGGCGGTCCATGCCCTCAAGTGGTGCAGAGAAGAGCAACAAGATCCCAACGTTATAGAAATGCACTATATAATAATAATACTTGGATTTGATATAGCAACTTGTCACATCTTTGAGATGTCTCAAAGACTCCACAGAATATAATGTAAAGTGAATTAACCATATATTTTGTGGGTGAATCGCAGTAGCCAATTGCACAAAGTAGTGTCCCACAAACAGTCATGGATTGAGTGACCAAATTATTATTTATTTATTGAAGAGATTATTACCCCCAGAAGAGCGATCTGGCAACTGACTAACAACCGGGTTCCTACTTACTGCTGGTTAAACAGAGGCATGTGGAGGAAGGAAACTTACCCAACGTTTTGCTCTGCCTGGGAATTAAACCCAGGTCCTCTCACTTGCGAGGCGAGTGCTCTCACCACTAAGCTACATGACTCCAAGCTATGAGCTATGAGCAACAATCAGACAAGCTAGGATTCTTCAATCTTGAAAGAAGACTACAGAGAGAGCACCTCAAAGAGGAGTACACCATTTTAAATGGGATAGAAAAATTAAACCCAGATCAATACTTGAGGATGTATCAAAATAATAAAACAAGATGATCTAAGTTTAGAATTGAAAAGGGCAATTTCAGGACAAATACTAAGAGGCCTTTCTTTACGCAGAGGGTAATCAACTCCTGGACCACCCACTCTCGCTCACCTCCACTGGCTCCCCATCCCCCAGAGGATCAAATTCAAGATCCTCATCCTCACCTACAAGGCCATTCACGGCCTTGCTCCCTCCTACCTCTCCAACCTACTATCCCCCTACTTACCTGCCCGTACCCTCCGTTCTTCTGGCTCCGGTCTGCTCCACATCCCCCGCCCCAACCGCCCTACCATCGGTGGCCGGGCCTTCAGCCTCTCAGCCCCGAGGCTCTGGAACTCTATCCCCAGTGCCTTCGCCACTTCCTCCCTTTCCTCCTTCAAGGCCGGTCTCAAGACCTTTCTCTTTGACCGTGCCTTCAGCTCCCCTCTCGACTCTCTACCTCCTCCCTGCTCCCTCCCTTCCCTCCCCTCACCCTGACCATTTCCCCCCTCCTCGCTCCCTCCCTTCCCTCCCCTCACCCTGACCATTTCCCCCCCGCTCGGGTCCCGACCCAACTGTCCAGCGCCTTGGGACGTCCTCCCGA